TTTTTCAATTCGAGGAAGTTTCCATGAGGTACACAATTTTTACATTATGACTTATCACGTTTACAACGTTTTCTCACTTATTAAATTCCCTGTTCGATTGTTGGAGTGTCCAAATCCTCAAATATATTCACTCAACGGACGGGGTATCGACATCCTGTTAGAATGTTGAAGTGCTCGAAAAATTGTTCTGTTGAAATATCACTTTGCAGTTGTTGCTTTCTGCGTTTTAACTAACGATAAAACGCTTTCGGATTATTCTTACACGAATTGTCTAACATTATACCTTCCTTTATTTTTATGATTAGGTCGAGGTCTAAGTAAGGAGGGTCAGACAAGGTCATTATAGGGAGGTGATCGAGGTCTTAGTAGGGGCGTCAGACAGGGTCATTATAGGGAAGTGGTCAAGGTCTGAGAGGGTGGGTCAGACACGGTACGTTTATATTGTTGATTTGCAATATTCCGTTATATTCTTTTTTCAGGCGATCGGTTGCAATTAAACACAAATAATATACTCTTGAAATCACGGTATAATCTATTGCAGCATCTGTAACCCATGGCATGTTGTCTTTAGGTTTTTAACAACGTTTATGCAAGAAGTTTCATCGTAGACACCTTGTTATTGAATTCACCAAATATTTAATCGATCATTTCAGTAAAGGATTAAAAGCACAAATCTGTATTGTCTTTAGTAGGTGACGGGTCAGTATACGAATAGTTTAGAATATTCAAATTGTATTCCACAGAAATGTTCATTTGGTCCAGTAAGGTGGGTCTCCATCGCACATAGGTATTTTCGGATTCATATTGCTCACATACGTGCATTGGTTGATTACGATGTATTCGTGTATTGATTTTTTAGTAGATCGGTACATGGAAAGTATCACACTTGACCCGAGGTGGTTTGTAAACGTTTGTCATCTGTAATAAAAGCTTTACCATGACCGCATCGACTATTAAAATCACCAAGAATCCTCACATGTCCGGCGTTTTCAAGAACGGAAAATAAATCGCAATCGTACGAATTACGAATGAGGGATTTAGACCTGCACTAGGTAAGCATCAATTCTATCCCTGCATACTCGACGGTCAGATTTTAGTCACACAATGCTATCATGAGATTACTCTATAGCACTTATGTATTGTGATAGCCTTTTTCTTGTAACTACTTTCGTACACGTTTGATCATATTATATCCATTATATTAAGTTTATATCAGAACCAGCTAGGATCCAACATTCAGTGAGATGTACTATACCATAGTCTTCACACAAATTAAGGAAGTTTTGATCAATAAATTTCCTCTCCAGGCCTCCACTACAGCTCTAAGAGAATGTCTTGACATCTAACGGTAGTTCAACCCCTGATCTACCTGTTGGGGTTATACGACACTTCGTTGATATAACGTTTTTTATAAACCAACTTAAGTCGTCGGATCCTGGCGCCCTCCATCTTTCATAAACTGCATCAACACTTTTCTCTTTTCCAAATTTTTGTTTGAGTATTGTTCATACAAAAATAAGTTGCAGTCTGTAAGATTCTTAGTATATAACGGACTTCCTTTTGTCCTTGTAACTGGTAAATTTCACAACAACCCGTTTCGGTTTTCCTATGTACCTTGTATGAACCGATGAGCACGATCATTAGATATTCTGTTGACAAGATCTTTAGCTACATGTATTTACATTTTGGTGACCATAAAATCCCGAACCTCTGATTCTATACTACATGTTTTATACATTTTGTATTTTGTAATATCTAATTTGATATATACAACTTACATGTTTGTATTATTCATGCATGGTCAATCAAATATTTTTGAATTGAATTTGACACCGGTAACATTATCGTGAGTAAGTTATCCCGCATTGACCTTGATCTTAGATCGATAATATTAGCCTTATACTGTAGGTGCTTCTTTTTCAGTACCGTAACACAATCGTCAACTCTCGTCGATTCAGACTCAATGTTATTGACTCTAGAAAGCAAAGCTTTGATATCACCGTTTGACGCAGCAACATCACTGCTTATTTTACGTGTTTCACAGACTAAAAAACAACATAAATATTCTTTCGTTAATGGCATTTAGTTTGCCTTCGAGACCGTTAAGTGTGTCCATTATTGTATCGGCCAAAGCCACCAGTGATTGGTTACCTGGCTGTTGAGGAGGCTATGAAATCAGCAATGAGGTGAATTCTGCCCTTCGAGAAATACGTTTGAGTTGCAATTGGTTATCAGTTTACCTGTATTTCCAAGCGTCGTAGTAGATGGTGACGTCGTCGACCTTTGCTGGCTGTTCAGGGTCAGTGTCCTAATTTTGCGAAGAACGTTTACGTCTCACTTTTCCCATAAATTAACAAGCTTAAACTTGTTACCGAAACACTAATTCAAGTCAAAACACTGTTCACGGCAATTGATGGTATATAGGTAAAATACTGTGGCTGTCCCTTGGTCAGGAAGTGACAGTCCCAGGCACAATTTTGATTTAACAAGTGCCTGAATAAACCAAGGTAAATTGTTGTTGTTTTTTAATTATTCTCGTGCAAAAAAGGTATTTAAGTTCCTTGATAATGAAAATTTATATCTTACGTCGGTGATTTTTTATTTAAATAATCTCTTTGTTATGAGCACGGATAACATTCTTATCCGATTCCGTGTTATGGGTTATGTTATCGGAGAATAAGATTGAATTCCAACCTTAATACGCAATAAACGCATAAATATCAGATTGTTGACATTAAGGACATTAAGGATATTTTCAAAAATCATTCATGAAATGATGATACAGATAACGTTATTTTCATCAAACTGATATCCTAGAAATCTGTTTTGTATGATTGAAGAACAAAACGTATAGCCTAAGAAAAAAAGTGTATTTCTTTGTTATAGTCAGTTAATGGAGTGCCCTTTCTGTGTGTTGTCATAGCTATAAACTGAGACACATATATTGCGGCATGAATGTTGATGTTTTAGACTTAAAGTCTCAGTGTGTAGGTCTAATCTTAAACCACCAATGCATGTGTGTATATATATATAAAGAATAAAATCTCAACAACACGTCTTTAGTACTTTCATCTATAGATTCTTCAGACTCCTAAATGATGTAATTATTAATTAGTCTGAAGAATCTCCTGGATGAAATAGAATTGCAAATACATATGTTTCTTTTAAATTATTTCTTCGTCCGTTAGGATCAATAAAATGAAAATATTTAACTCTTTAATACTTTAATACTTTTTTACACAAAGAAATAATATTAAAAGAAACAAAATCAACAACATGTCATTTGCAATTTCATCTCTCCAAGAAGATTCTTAAGACTGTTTATTAAAAGGACAGCTCATGACCTCACCTAATAGTTAGCTATTGTGCTGTCCTCTTTGCGTACCCGAAATAGCGTGCAATATGTATATATAATTATGGTCTTACGGTAAAGAGTACCATTGATATAGAATTTAGTATTACTATTAGTAGTAGTATGTATGTATCAATAATTATTTAATGTACTGTAATAAAACTAAATTGAAAACAAAATAATAATATTTTCCTACGAGGAGCGAACTCGGGACCAATACATTACTGACCCAATACGCTACCAATGTCACTATATTTACATATATTTATAATTCATGAAGTAATCGCTCTCTTGTTAAATTCAACAGACATGTATATTTTTAAAAAAGACATTTATTTAAGCATGGTATTATATTAGTATATACTAAGTAAGTCAATGTTGTAAGGGTACTGCTTCGATAAATTTTAAGTACACACTGTACTAGAATACACCATTTAATTATGTTTACAATGTTTTTTTAAATGTAGGGTCAAGGAGAAATTTACAACATGTACTAACTGATTAAAACCAGGCAGCTATTATGACAGAAATAATTGTGTACTAATAGTCAACCCCCGTGCACAAGCTTGTGAACTCCAGTGTACACGATTGTGTGAGCAAGTTCACAGGCTTGTGAACTCCAGTTTACACGATTGTGTGAGCAAGTTCACAGGCTTGTGAACTCCAGTGTACACGATTGTGTGAGCAAGTGCACAGGCTTGTGAACTCCATATCACAAGCTTGTTCATTCCAGTGCACAAGCTTGTGAACTCCAGTGTACACCCTTGTCAGCTCCAGTTTACCCCCTTGTGAACTCCAGTGTACACCCTTGTCAGCTCCAGTGTACACCCTTGTGAACTCCAGTTTACACCCTTGTCAGCTCCAGTGTACACCCTTGTGAACTCCAGTTTACACCCTTGTCAGCTCCAGTGTACACCCTTGTGAACTCCAGTGTACACCATTGTCAGCTCCAGTGTACACCCTTGTGAACTCCAGTTTACACCCTTGTGAACTCCAGTGTACACCCTTGTGAACTCCAGTTTACACACTTGTGAACTCCAGTTTACTAGATTGATAGTCAAAGTTAAGTAACTTCCAACTATACCTATTGTGCAATCAATCAGCCAGTCAAAATCAACACTATGGAAAACATAATTTTAGAAATCCTGTTTTATTTGTTGGGCAGAGGAGAGACTTTTCCCTCATGTATATGTGTACATATATCCTACAGCATCTCACAGTATGTCAGAAACTATTCAGTCACATAGATTTTAAGCAAATCACCACCAATATACACGGGTACATAAAGTTGATGGAGACTTAAAATATGGACACTTCATCATATTTCAGCTTTCATCTTAATAATAAACTATACCTATATAATCGCCAAAACAATGCAAGATTGTAATTCGCAATCATTTATTGCATGTGCTTACAAAGGTTAAATCATGTTAGGGTCATTTGTGTAGCAGCCCGAGATAAAAATATCATAAGTGTAGAGCTCGAGGCCTAGTTGTGACACTCATTATCGTTATGTATCAGGTCTAGTCAAGTAGTACAAGGGCGAGATTGGTCATCACCTCAACAGAAAGGGAAGCCAAACAGTATAATGTGATGATGATGGTGGACTGTCTGAATTAGTCTAGCATTGAGCACAATCAACCAAAAAGAGCTTCCGGTGATTAAACTTCCGTTGGTTCAAGTCTTCACTGTCGATCCCTTGTAGATTTAAGCAACTGTACCTTTACCTCTAACAGGTGAGTATTTCGTTAACTTGTCTGTAATAAAAAAGAACTTAATAATTATTAATCGAAAAGTATGTCGACTGTCATTTATGTGACCAGTAAAACCGTATATACATCAACATGTTTGCAACAGATGTTCTTTATTGTGCACCCTGCCGTAACGACAGCTGTTGATATATTATGGCTGGTATGCTGCATTGTAATTATGTTCAGCTATGAAAGCGTAATAGTGTCTATTAAAATAATAGTTTATGGTAAGTAAAAATAACGTATCTACTGAGATTAACATATATAGTGTTTATACTAATCTTACATTTTAGAAACCACATACAAGGTACATAATACTACGATGCATTTTTATATAAAATATTTCACAACAGCATAATACTTTTAGTATACATGTACAACCTTGTTAAGTAAATACACTTTTGCTCTTTGATCGCTTTTATGGCATGAAGCATATATACACCGACAGATTGCATTTAAAAATACTTAAATTTTTTCAATTTTGAATTAATTATATATGGCTGTTTCTTGTAAATATACCGAATTTTTTTCATCATAATAGGTTTTAAAGAATTGAGATATTTTGAACCTAGTTTGAAGTTTATTACCTATCAATACTTCAGAGTATTGTGTTCGGGACTGTGCTTCATATCACAAGGTTTTGTTTTTCATATATTCAAGGACATAACCAAAAATAGAGCTAGCTACAGTGTACGCAGTATTTTTAAATAGTATTTGGAAAATTTTTATAAATGGATTTGACCTTTATTACCATTTACAATAATGTTTTCTTGAGGTTTTTTGTTCGATATTGATCATATTTTATCAGTAATGATGCAAGACGCATTTTCACTTTTTCTTACCAACCCAAGACATTTTGTGATTGTAATGCCCAAAAAATATTTGAAATACTTATTCTGCTAGTTATGTTTTGCTCTCAGCTAGTATATTTACCAGGGAGAATTATAAGGAACGGAAATATCTTAATCAGGATTGAGATCTGTGTAGCAGCTCTTATTGTAATAGATATTTGAAGAATTGGTGTTTGAATTACTTATAAATAATTTTTGAGACTTTTGGTAATGTTAATATTAATGTAACGACTAAGGAAGATATATTCAAACAAACAGGCTTCCATAGTATCTATGTAACAGGTGCATTTAATAATCGTTTTCACAATGAATTAATCTATATAAAGATCAGGCCTTGTTGCAGACCAAATATAACACTAATATGAGATAATGATAATGAAAATCGATTGATTACACTTATAGAGTCTGGAGTGACACATCACGACAGTCATTCAGTTTAAGTGATACTACGAATAGTCATAAAGAGTTTGGATAATGCCTTGTTTAGGAAAATAGCAGAGCCGGCGACGAACAATTTTTGTTAAGGATTCCTGTTCAGTTTCGGAATCCGTCACAAACGAGCTAGATCCGTAGTCTTGTTTTCAGAAGGACTGTTGTACAGAAGCGTGAAACGCTAGTTAAACGTCTTTCGAAATATTTGGTGCTGTATGCGATGGGACTCTTTGGTAAGTAGCAAGTCTGGCCGTTTTTCTAAGCAGTATATGAAGTAGAGTTTATAGCAATAATCAGAGTGTTTGTAGTTTTGTCTGTCGACCCAAACTTTTGAAAACAATGTCGAAAATTAGGTCTTGGACGGAAAGTTTAAGGCGATGCAGGACGGGTTAAAATTGCTATTAGAAACTTAACCGTACTGAGGTCGGACTCCCTTGTATGTTTTGATGTTTTTCTTGGGTGACAATGTGCATGTGCCAGTTAGCCGTGATGGAAAAAAAGCATTGATGGCAGGACACTTCCTTATTTGTCTAAGTATTCCCTTAAATCCCTTATACTCGTTGGGTTAATAAAACAGAACCACACTCACGCAGTGATGTAATAGGTAACTCTACTACAAACCAGGTTTACTGTATCAAGAAAAATAAAGTCTTTGGATGAATGTTAAAACATTTTCCAATGTAACTACTTGAAGTTAGGTATGCACTATGCAGAGAAAATAATTGATATATTAGTTTTTATACTTTACAACGACTACTCATGCATCCCATTCCATATAATGTTTGTTACGTTATTTCAGAAACGACTACAGCCATGCATTTCGACGATATCCTGAAAGTGATTGGAGAGTTTGGGCCATATCAGAAGAGAATATATTTCCTGCTATGCCTGCCAATCCTGTTCCATTCTATGTTCGAGCTACGAAATGCTTATATAATGTATACTCCGAAGCAAATGTAAGAAATATTATTCTTCCGAAATCGGTTTTTGAAAGAGTACGAATTAAAAAAATTGTTCGAGGAAACATTTTATCAATTTTAAAACTTGTAAATTAGTTCCAGAAGCTACAATGTTTCATTGTATTTCTTAGAAACTTTTTTTTTTTTTAAAGGTGTGCCACAATCGATTCACCTGTTCATCTCAAGGAAACAGCCTCCAATAACTCCGGCGATTCTTCCCGTTACCATGATCAGTATGAATATGGGGAATGCAGTGTAACGATTGGAAATAACAGCAGTAATACAACATCGTATGCATGTTCGTCTTGGTCGTATGATAAGACTGTATTTACTTCTACGTATGTTTCTGAGGTAGGTACACAATATCTTGTTGCTTACTGGTAGGTATTGAATATTTTGTTTAAAATAGCATTGCATAAACATCATTCATACCAGTATCCTCTACTTTCACTTGATGAAATGGTGTGTAATAATTGTCTCCAGTCAGTACAGTACGTGTTCCAAATATCATTAAATAATATTTGATAGAATCTACTCCAGTAATTTACTTTTAGTTTAAAAAGATACCTGATAAGGATGTGCATAAAGTTGGTGACAAATGCAATTAATACTAAAAAGAGTGAAATACTAGCACTAATTAGAGTCAACTACAAATACCACTAATTAGAGTCGAATACAATTACCACTAATTAGAGTTGAATACAATTACCACTAATTAGAGTCGAATACAATTACCACGAATTAGAGTCAAAACAATTACCGCTGAATAGAGTCAAAACAATTACCGCTAAATAGAGTCAAAACAATAACCACTAATTAGAGTCGAATACAATTACCACTAATTAGAGTCAAAACAATTACCGCTAAATAGAGTCAAAACAATTCCCGCTAAATAGAGTCAAAACGATTACCGCTAAAAAGAGTCAAAACAATTACCACTAATTAGAGTCGAAAACAATTACCACTAATAAGAGTCAAAACAATTACCGCTAAATAGAGTCAAAACAATTACCACTAATTAGAGACGAAAACAATTACCGCTAAATAGAGTCAAAACAATTACCGCTAAATAGAGTCAAGTTGAAGGAAGCTTATTGGATTGATGACATGTTATATACAAAGATCAATTGTTGTTGTTCTATAAGAACTTACTCAACGATCAATTTTATTACGACTGTTTAATGACGACATATCCTAGTAGACCTGGGATCTGCAATGTGTGATAATCACCCAATTAAATTCTTAATATTTATTAATCTGTGACACTCAACCAGTTATTGCACTTTCTATAAATCTGTGAACATCGATCAAATATCAGTGATTGTAACCCTCTTAGAAAGCTGTTCATATCTGTTCTGTGATCATCAACCCTTTTTTAATTGTTGATTTGTTTTACTTGTATTTTCAGCCGCTTTTTATCCTTGTATTTCTCTATAAATCTACAAGCATCACCCCTTGTACATTGTATATACAGTTTATGTACATCTATATTAATCTGTCCTAATTACCCTCTTTTATAGCTGTAAATATGCATTTATCTGTAATCACACACTTAAATTAATGTAAATGTAGCTTTGAATCTTCATCAATTTGTGATACCTTCACCTTTTATCAGTAAATGTTTGTTTGAATATTTGTATTTTTCAGCTGTTTGTCTTTATTTATCTAGCGCTCCAATTGTTCTTTCTATTACACATTCATATTTGTTTTTTGCAGTATAACTTAGTATGTGATTCTGCACTGACAGCAGCATATATACAGGGCATCATACACTTTGGGTCATTGACGGGGTCGTTTCTGGAGGGATTTATATCGGACAGGTATGAACACAAACTGTTAAATAGCTTATGTATCGAAACATGTTGAAAGGTTTTTAAAGATGATAATGTTTTGAGTGTGTGTTAAAGCTTTATTCGGATCATTTACTAGACCCATATGAATTACTTTATTGATACGATGGCTGACTTCAATTTAAGCACTTGTACAATTAATTCCTATTGTCATCCCCTGAATCACAGGTTCGGGAGAAAACGGATATTGTGTGGCAGCATTACCCTTGCCATGGTGGTTGGTACTTGTGCCGCATTCTCTCCTAATATCTACGTATTTACAGTCCTTGGTTATCTACAATCTTTGAGTTGTTCGTTCACATATTCATCGGCATTCATATCAGGTAAACTATTAATATATCAAAAACAGTTACACAATTTATAGATAAACAATGGTTTTTATATTTGCAAAACCATTTATTGGACGTGTATTGCATAATTATTTTCGCTTTAAAAATTTCACATCACCAAAATTTCCATCACAGACACGACACAACCTATGCTTAAAAATATACCTGCAGGAGATGGTCACGTAGATCAACCGATTGCCTGTGCTTATTAAAAAAACAAATCTACATAAGCATGTGGTATATACGGAATATACTATTACATCTGTGTTATACTCAACAAATCATTGTTACATCTTGGTTATCATACATACCAAGTTCACACATAGTAACACATTGTTATATTTAAATTGACACACATAGTAACACATTGTTATATCTAAATTGACACACATAGTAGCACATTGTTATATCTTAGTTGTCATACATAGTAACACAATGTTATATCTTAGTTGTCATACATAGTAACACATTGTTATATCTTCAGTGTCACACATAGTAACACACTGTTATATCTTCAGTGTCACACATAGTAACACACTGTAATATCTTAGTTGTCATACATAGCAACACACTGTTATATCTGAGCTATCGTACACAGCAACAGACTATTATAGATTTTTATTGTAGATAAGTGAGATACAATTTCATAAAATAATATCGATTCGATTAATCTGAATATATAATATCTAATGTTTCAAGCGATTCAGCAATTTTGTTGAATACAATTTTCTAATAACAATGTTTGCATGATGAATTAAATTGTTATAAATCCGTTGCAAATTCGTCATTACTATTTGATATCTTAATGAAAACTTAAAGAGAGCGAACGTCAATATAAGAATTAGAAGTATTTGTATTCCGTAAATCTTGTATCAATAAATTTGAATGACACTATTGTCGCTATTCCGACGAGGTGTAAATGCTCCCTTTTGCTCGTTCTGCTGTAGGTTTAGAGCTTGTTGGACCATCCAAACGCCGTTGGGCTGGGATTCTGATCAATTTCTTTTATTCAACTGGGATGATCTTGTTATCAGGAATTGGATATGGATTTCGTGATTGGAAATATATTCAAATTGCATGCTCTCTACCTTTAGGGCTTTTCATCGTTTACTGGTGGTACGTATTTAGATGAGACTATTGATGTTTTAAATAAAACTTAGCCATAATATTTACGATATTCGGAACAACACATCTTGTTATCCTAAGCAGGCCCGGACATATTAAGTTGGCTGCGACCTGTGAACACAGTAGAGAATGGAAGTCGAGATCTCACGTTCTGGAACTTTAGATTACTTTATACTTGTTTATTTTCACGGGGCTAATATTTCGCGGTTGTTTCGGTCTGAAGTATTCACGGGAACTGAATTTCGTACAACATGGTCAGATGTAAATACCACGTTCATCAAAGTACTTTATCATTTTTGATGATGAAGTTCAATTTTCAATTGTTTTGCGAAAATGAAGAAAGACTTATCGAATTTTTTATCTTCATTTTTCGGTAGTATACTAGTTTACAGCTTTTGTTCTTTTGGGTCTGCATTAAGTAAAATATGTTTCCATGGGGGTAATAATTAATTGGGATTTATAATCGCTGGGTATTTTGTTTTGCGCTGTCGTTGGCGACCGCGAATATGGCGAAATAAAATCCCCCGCGAGTATTTAATGTACCACCTATACAGTACACGATCGAACACATTCTAATAATAACGCTAATTATACAGTTTAGAAGTAAGATTTCCCTAATTATACAGTTTAGAAGTAAGATTTCCCTAATTATCGTTTTGCATATAAAAATCAAGGAAACTGTTGATACAGGAAATACTGTAATATCCTTGTTTTAGAGGGAGGGTGTAATGTAATGTTGACATTATGTTATCTAAAGACAAAACATGACATGCATAATAGCATTTTCTGCATACATTTTCTCGAGCGCTAGATGTATTTTCTCGATTGTTCGACTTATTATTTCGAGGGCACGACATAACATCTCGAGAACTTGTCTTATACTTAACGTATGACAAAGTAGTCGAGCGCTCGAGATGAAACATTTATAATTAGTCCAGCGCTCAAGATAATTAATGTAGCCAAGAGGTCGAGAGGGCCTGTATCGCTCACCTGGATAATAAAGCAACCATGGGAAATTATTCTTATTACATATAATCCCTCCAATAGTACAAAATAAGAAAGATTTTAAAGATTTAAACCTCTAATTTCCCTATTGGGCCCCGCAACTCTCAGCCCCAAAGGGGTCCAAACCCGCCGTTTATACAAAGGTTAGTCCCCTTTGCCAAAGAGTACTCTAGGTTAAATTGGGATAACATCCCTTGATTCCTATGGTAGAAGATGGTTTGAAAGGTTTTTACCTCTATTTCCCCTATTGGGCCCCACGTCTCTGCTCACAGGGGACCCACATCCACCATGTATAAAAAAATTGAGTCCCTCTGCCCAAGGATGCTCCAGACCAAATTAGGATAAATCACTTAATCCATACGGTAGAAGAAGGATTTCAAAAGTTTTTGCCTCTAATTTCCTTAATGGACCCCGCAACTCTGCCCCCCCCCCCCAGGGGGTCCAAACCCACCGTTTGAACAAAATTGGGTCCCCTTGTCCCAAGGATGCTCAAGACAAAATTGAGATGAAATCCCTTAAATACTATGGTAGAAAAAGGAATTTAAAGGTGTACCTCTATTTCCCCTAAACGGCCCACACCTCTGTGTATACAACATTGAGTCCCCTTGGCTCAAGAATGCTTCAAATTGAAATAGGATAAATTCCCTTAATCCGTACAGTAGAAGAAGGATTTTAAAGGTTTTACCTCTATTTCCCCTATTCGGCCCAACCCTCTACCCCAAGGGGGCCACATCCACCGATTATACATCATTGAGTCCCCTTTGCCCAAGGATGATCCAGACCAAATTAGGATTAAATCCCTTAATTCCAACATTAGAAGAAGGATTTTAAAGGTTTTACCTCTATTTCCCCTATTCGGCCCAACCTCTCTGCCCCCCNGGGGGGGGGGGGGGGGGGGGGGCACATCTACTATTAATACAAAACTGAGTCCCCTTGGCCTAAGGATGCTCCAGACTAAATTTAGTTCAAACTCACTGGACTGTTCAGGACAAGTAGCATTTTAAAGGAAAAATTGACGGACGAACAGACGACGGACGCTGCGCCATGGCATAAGTTCATTTGCCCTTCGGGCAAAAAGCATTGTGCATGTCCTTAATGTACCACCGTATCGATGTATTGAAACACTTAGAAAGGGCATTGGTACCTGTCTTTGCAGCTAACTCGTTTGAGATAGTTCTAACCATTCAGTACGTCTGACAATCACATCCTCAGTTTTTATTGTAGTTTGGCCTTTGTCCTTCTTTCCAACAAGTATACTACAAAATGATACAGCCATATAACCATAACGCATGTTGTCTCAAAGCGTAAACTCTCATATTACGAAAGTGAAGGTGTCCCTTCATAATGATGTGAGGCGTAGTAGAAAACCGTGATAACTAACTTACCAGTTAAAGCAAGCGATGACTTATATTTGCTTTACGAAGAATGAAATTGTCCGATATTGGCAAGCGTACTAGAACGAGATTGATAAGTCATATGTCAGCTGCTTTTCATGGTAATAGCAAAAGCAGGTGGGGCTTAATACACAATATGTTCAACAAGGAGGTCGAACAATTTGTTGAACTATCGTTCGAGTTAGAACCTTTATGACAGTCTTGTATGAAAACATCTCTGCCTGCGTATGGCTAATAATGATTAGGCATACTCATTATATAAATAGTCATAATTCCTTTCTTATTTTATGTTTCTTGGATGCATATTTGATACAATAAATATATCTTCGCTAATGATATTACAATTATAATATTGCTGCTATGACAGGTAGGCAGAGCTACATTATACACTAGTGAAAGGTACCCCTCAGTGAATGGCATTTTACTCCACTCGAGTGGTCAGCCGTGACGAGATCAGTGCAAAATCTTGATGATGGTGTCCTTTTACAATTTTCATTTTGAGGCTTGATGGTTATCAGTTATTGTATTCAAATGATTTATATTGATTCTTTTTTTTGTAATGAAATGCAAACTATTTTGTCTCTTTAAAGGATCATCCCGGAATCACCACGTTGGCTGATCAGTCAGGGTAGATATAAAGAAGCCCATGCTATTATCCGTACAATAGCTAAATACAATAAATGTGAAGACAAGCTGTTCCTTAACCAACTAACAGACGATGATGACGAGGAACCCGAACGGTTCAAAATCTGGCACCTTTTCTCGTCTTGGTCCATTATTGTCAGATGTGTGATAATCTGGGTAAACTGGTAAGTGTATTGAAGTTGTTTTTTTATACGATTAGCAGACATTTTTTAGGAAGGGTGATTATGCTATAGCGCACGATATATTCGGAAACTCGAGCTAAATGTTACGTCAATTTATATATATTTTTTAAATTCATCATCCATAATATAAATGAGATAAAACTGTTTCATTATTGTTTCAGTTTCTTTGTTTAAATGGTAAAATATATTCAATTAAGAAAGTTGTAACTATCTTTAATAACACAAATGCAGCTGATATTGTTCACAATACAAAGAAGTACATGACGCTGTTCTGACCCCGTCATGTCCTAACTGGTATGCCTCGACACTGAAAGTTATCTAATTTCGTTGATTTAATTTTGTTTGGGTTGAGCATCTTTTTAACAACCAAGCTCTTTTAAGGATGTGCTTACATGTGTGTAATGTATACTACATTTAGTGTGCTAAAGGGGGAATATTGGTTTATCTTTCTTATTGCGGTAGCGTGGATCTAATGCCGACTTTAAAGTGCGTCCTCCCAAAAATGTTTTACCGAAAGCACCAAGCACAGAGAATTATATCCGGTTTTATTGTTCTGATTCTTTCCTGTCTTATCACTGACGCATATTAATTACGTGTTGTGATTACTTTATATAAACAATAGAAACTTTCAGGAACAAAAACGTGGCAATCGTTATAATATCAACCTAGTCAATTGTCGAGTATCGAATATGTTTGATCACGAGCAGCTTATAATCACCATTAACTCTAATACAACATTACATAATCTCACTCGGTTGCCCTTCAACATGCAGGTGTCCCATTTCTAACGAGAACAACGCATAACAGTTGTGAATAAACAACATAAACTGGCAATAAAACGTGCTTTGCAAATTGTATTATGGAGAATTAAGATTTTCAATTCCATTTTTATTGTGTAAAAATGAAATATGGTATTATTGTTTTTTATGAGTTTTGTTGAATTAATTATGAGTCATTCGTTTTTGGTTGTCAAACTTTCAGAATTTAAATCTATTCTGTATTTCTGTTGTTTGCAGGATAATTATCTCTATAATATACTTTGGATTTTCCTTAAATGCTGCTAATCTAAGCGGGAACTTTTACCTCAATCATCTACTCGCCAGTCTTGTCGAATTTCCAGCTAACGCTGTTGCGTTTGTATTGTTGGATAGGATTGGGCGGAAAAAACTCTTTATCTTAGGAATGGTTATCGGCGGATTATGTTTACTCTTGACAGGTGTATTCGAACATTTCTGGCCTGTTGGTAAGTTTAGAAGTTACCAGGTTAAGTTTATGAAATTATATTTCAAACAAGTGAAAAACAAATTGTCATATGAAAAACAACAATATGTTCTTGATTTCGAATGGGAAACATATTTTATACAATATAAATGTATTTACCAGATCTTCTAGTTTTCTGTGCAACAAAACTCATTTATAGTGATACAATCCGATCAAATTTTCCCATATCATCTCGTTCTCCTTGGAAGATTTTGCCGAACGCGATTAGTCTGTATCCTTACAAAACCTTCATTACATATGTATTAAATGATTTTAGCTATAACGAAAGCAACACACATTTACTTAAAAAGTTGAAATACCTGTCTATTTGACAATATTTACACTTAAAGGACTTGCCTAACATTTGTGAACGCCTGCAAACCAACTAACTAATTATTGATGCTTACCTCTGCTTTAAAGTTGTGTGCATTATCTTTCAGAAATAATTTGTATTTCGTTTGCTATGGTGGGAAAATTTGGAATAACGATCGGATATGCCGTGGTATATGTGTGGTCAGCCGAATTGTTTCCAACAGGACTACGGAGTACAGGACTAGGCTTAGGATGCATGTTTGGCGACGTCGGATATATAATAGCGCCTTACATTTTACAACAGGTAAGGTTTAATAATACCTTAAGTTCAAAATATCAGATCGAAATCTGTGTGTTGACATCAATCCACCTATTATCCTTTCATAATGACACGTAAAACATGTGTACACTGTATATTGCAAAATACGCGCAAATGTGTTTCTACCACAGGCAAATCTCCACAGTATATCATCGATTGGTTTGGTTTGGGTGTAGATGATTTAACGACCTATCAACAACTAAGGTCATTTAAGGACGTGTCTCCATGTGTGTAATGTATTTGTGCACGTGTGTTTATGAGTTGGGTGAGGGGTGTATTTTTGCACGTGTGTTTATGAGTGGGGTGAGGGGTGTATTTTTGCACGTGTGTTTATGAGGTGGGTGAGGGGTGTATTGGTGTAAGTACCACCTTGCGCTAGCGTCAATCTAATACCGTCTTTAGTTCTATCTCACTGAACAATTTACATGTGTGTAATGTATTTGTGTACGTGTGTTTATGAGTTAGGTGAGGGGTGTATTGGTGCACGTGTGTTTAAGAGTTGGGGGAGGGGTGTATTTGTGCACGTGTGTTTATGAGTTGGGTGAGGGGTGTATTGGTGTAAGTACCACCTTGCGATAGCGTCAATCTAATACCGTCTTTAGTGCTATCTCACTGAACAATCAAGCCAGGGCTCCCAACATAGCATTCCGCCCGGTCACATTATACTAACAACGGGTGAACCAGTTGTTGTTTTTACCCTTAATGATGAGTATTAGATAGGGAATACCAACTAGAATCTTAAGGACTTTGCTATGTCCCGTCATGGGTACCGAACCCATTACCTTTCTCACCAGGGCGAACGTTCAATATTAAAGCCAAAATTGAGGTGTCGCCAAGCAAGGCACAAGGAAACAACATGTAGATAGAATTAAGGTAATATATAAAGATCCCAAATATTGCAATGGGTGCAGCAGATTATTTTGGTCGATCTTGTGTCCCCAAGTTGAGGACACAACCGCAAGTCCCCGATTCTACCGGGAGTGGTGGCTCATTAGTCGCCTCTTACGATCATGTGATGGGTAAAAACATGTATATTCTTTTCTCGTTTCCCGACTTCCAATGGTGTTAAGTATACAATTGAATTTCTAAACATGTGTCTTTACCTCAAGTACAGTATAATGTTTAACATTTTTTAACAAATGTGTATGTGTCATCTTATACACAAAAGGGAGAATACTCCAAGTAGAAAACAGTCGAGTGGAACTCTTCTTTACGATTGTAACTTATACATGTACCGTGGTACTCTTTACGTTAAATAGACGTTTCCTGGAGAATAGGATGACTACATGTAAAAGCCTAGCGGGATAAGACATTAAATAAACGTTTTTTTTCTATTTTGGTATCTTTTGTTAAAGTATTAATTAACAGGAGTCTTGTTGGCAAATTCACCGTTAACCATAACATGTACATTTTACTGTATTGAATGCCCTTCAACAACAATGTACAAGGATATAAAAATGCTGTCTCAATGTTTTTGACAAGCTATCGAACCTTTAAAACAATTGTATTTTATATTTGCTTATATTTTTGTGCAGTATTATATTTTTTGTAGACAAACAACATTTCGTACTTCATAAACAATTAAACACTACAGACACATATATTTTTGTAAAAAATGTACATTTTATCATGCTTTACCATATGTAAGACGAGTCTTTGACTCAATATGACATCAATTAGGAATGAACGTCTGTCATATTGCAGTTACAGCCAATATGAATGCAATCTGGGTGACAGATAAATAATCATGACGCCCGCATTCATATTGGCTGTAACTGCAACTTGACAGACGTTCAATCGTTATATTTACATTTCCTCATACAAACTGTCTTTTATTAATTAGTCGGATGAGCTTAATTAGCATTTCCGCTGCCGAAAAACCTCACTGGTCCAATTCTTGGAACATCCGCAGACGGCCATTATTGGACCGAAAACTTTCCAAACAACGGTCGCCATGCGACAACTATTAAATGCAATTAAATGCTCTAATTATATGTTCAGAACATTCTAACAGAAAAATAAGAACTTACCTTTCTATTCTGGATGTCTTCATTGTCTGCAAAATCCGTCAAAATGCGACTTGAATGAACCAAACAACAACAACAATGTTGTGGCTTTCGTATCGGTTGGAGAGGTTGCTAACACTGACGTCATGTAAACCATGGTCAGGTGACTAGATAATGCAGACTGCAGTTACTGGACAGTGACTGCAGGCTGACTTTACATATAGTTAACGGAAAATAGAAAGGGCATATGTAAATATGTTAACATGAAGACTACTATTATTATTATAGTTATTATTATATTAATGCTTGATCGTTTCTGTTCAAACGCATTTAATATTCATTAGTATGCAAGTTTTATTATTACACAAGATTACATGAAAACATTCCAGAAGAAGCGCGTTTTGGCATAGAATTAGAACATAAAACATGACCATAATAGTTTGGCATGTTAAAGCCAGTCTTGCTGATGGAATGAGAGTTCGCGTCAGCTATAACAATCCTATGAAGACTTAACAGTAATTAAACAGTATATTTGTGACTTTTATTAACAGGCTCTACTTGTCCCGGGCTATGGACGTATTCTACCGTTATTCCTGTTCGCTGTGTTGGCATTGGGAGTCTCGTTTCTCACTCTTTTGTTACCTGAGACGACGATGGAATCACTTCCAGAGACAATGCAAATTCACCAGGAAAGGTATAGTATCAAACCATAGTCCTCGTCCCCGATAGTGTTAGAATGGTGGCGGTTAACCTAGTCAAATCTTCCATACAAACATAATACATGTTCAAACTATACACCATAGGAAGGCACAATGTATGTATTTTTTGTTTTAAATATGTTTAGATAGGCCTACATACACGAACAAGGATCTCTCATGTTACTGGTTACTATTTGCTCCCCTGATTAAAGCCGAAAACCCCGTATTTCCTTTTCTTTTAATATACCTCGTTACATGTACATGCTATCTTTCCCCTGCACGATGGTTTTATACAGTCAACATTCCATTTGATGGAAACCTAGTCTATGTGAACTGCAAAAGAATCGTTTTTGACGAGTTATCAAACCTTTGAAAGATATTTTAAAGTAGTAAAGATAAATGTTTGCTTTGTGTGAGGATTTAGACTGAAATGAATAAACAATAACCCTATCTCTTTCTCGTTTTAAAGTTGTTTTGATCAGAAATTATGGACGGACAATTTTCAAAGGTGCTCAAAGACTAAAGTTAAAGCCATACATAACTTCCTTTTAGAATGATGTTTACTATACAATGTATTTCTTAATTTGAAGTAGACAAATGATTTTCTAGTTCTGATTATTATTAAAAAATATATTGAAATGGAGATAACTATATAGATTTTTTTTATTGACCATATGAATTTTAGTCAACTATATTTTGGATTCCGAAACAATTTTTTTTTACAACAATGTATATTCACTGACTCTAGTTTCTTAACCAAGCTATTATACAAAATGTTTCTTACTACCATGTTAAACCCATTGAATCAGGTGATGGAATTAATGGAATGTTGATATTGAAAACAGATCTTTCCCTCAATTTTGTTCACCCTCACCTCAAAGGTTTGTATTCTATCAGAGCTTTTGATTTTCCTATTTTGTTACTAACACTTTTTTATACAAAAGTGAAGGACGCCTTTGTTTATTGTGAAAACTTGATTTGTTCAAGGAAGGCAAACGGCGATATAAATATATTTGACTTTGAATTATTTTAGAGCGTATTTTGTGAGAAAAAACCCATTTAATTTACTGAGGATGAAATCGTGAAAGTGATTTAGCTTCCGACTGAAAATATCTCTGTTAAGTTAGTTGGCAAGATTTTTCAAACAGACTGTATGCGTGTCTATGGGAAAACTGTGTCTCTATTGGCAAAATCTGTTTAGTTTTATATATGAGGCTAAATTAACTGGCACAGTTTAACAAAATCCAGTTTTTAAGCTTGCGCAGATAGTTTACACACTTTAACTGGAAATCAAGGACATTAAAGAACCTTCCACATCTGACGTTTTCCTCAGTCTTAACTTCAACATAACCAATAGGGACGGCTTATTAATAAACCGTAAACAATAAATGCGTGCCATGTTCATTACGATCTCAATAGGGGACTAAAACTTGTTTGTATGACACGAAGGCCAATGTTTTTATCATTTTGATTGGTGTGCTTCGCTGTTTTGGTTCTTGGTTTGAGGACCTAGTATTTCATTCACTTCGATTTTACCTTGATTTACATGTCGTCGGCGACGCTTAAGACCCTTAACTTTCCTTAGTCTGCCTTTTGTTATAAGTTTTTTTTCCGTTTATAGGTTTCCATCTCATTTAAATATGTAATTTTGCCTTAGATTTATGTCTCTCGAACTCTAACATTACTCTTTTCTAGACGCTTCGTTAATGTTTTATAATTGTTGTTTTCTCATAATACTAGTATTTCGAAATATTCCGATTATTGTGGAACTAAATACTAGTTCTTTATAATGCGTTAACAAATATCTTTATTAATGTGATCGTGGTTAAGACTACTTAACCTACTGTTGCTTTTTATTTCAACTGAATGCTATTTTCTAAAAGAAACTGTTTATGACAATTAAGTCATCATTAACCAGTATCAATAAACAATTTTCATTGCAGACTCCAGTCATACAAAAGTGATAGGACGATATGCGGAGATACGCTGGTCGTGGAGGAAGAGTTATTATAAGTCATATCTATTTGTGAAACAAATTTTGAACACTGAGTGACTAATAAATTTTCTTCTACAATTATATCTTGATATCAGAAGGGTTAGACATTCAAATTTATTAAGTTAGAATGGTCCCTTTATGAAGTCACTCTCTCTATTACTTTCTCTTTCCTTTATCATTTTTATAAAAAAAAATAAAAAAAAAATGCTACATACAATTGGTTCGTTTCGAGCCAGTGTGGACTTGTGTGTCGAATACAGCAATATCAGCTCGATTGTAAATATTGACAACAGTACTGTTAATCGGAGGCGAAGGTGTAACGATGAAGGTACAGTTTTTGGGTCACACAACGTTACACTGTGTGAAATGAAAATTGGATGATGCGCGCACGGTGCACATACGATGAAAAACTGTTCTATTATAACGTACACGCAACGGTGCGATAGATTCGCCGTTGATATATATTGAGGAATGGCCTGTCAGTATATTCAATTTCGTATTTAAACTTATTTATTATATCCTTGAAAATTTCTCGCAATCACACTGGCCGGATAGGATACACGTGACCAGTCCTCAAAAACTCGTATGTAGACTGGTCATTTTTAGAATATCGATTTTTAAATATAGCCTTTATTGAATTCCCCGCAATCTGTACTAGCGCATGCGCAATTAGAACGGAAAGCTATATTACAGACGACCCCCGCCTCTGTTGCAATTGAAAATGTCCAAAAAGTCCTCGAAGATAAAGATGCTTTTTACACTCTTAAGAAAAAGAACCTTGACGATGTATTAGAAGGCTACGATGCCGAACTTTTGGCTCCAACCCTGGCCAAATTTTACACGGAGAACCATGTGGTTTTTTTTGTGTTTTTTATTATTTATATTTTATTTTTGAAGCATACAAAGTGATATTGGCTTGGACTCGGTCAATATCAACTTTTCAGCTTCATATCACATCATATTAACAATCACAAAAGTTCGTAATTGTATAATATATGCCGATTTACATGATTCTTTATTTATCTAACAGTTAATGAACACATCGCCTACGAAAATTGTTTTGAGACGGCCTAAATCATGTTCACTGTAGATTTACGGTCTTTTCTACATGAACGTACTTTAATGGAATGTAAACAAAGCAGTCTTACCTATTACCTGTTTCCTGTTAATTACGAGTCAACGGGTACATGATTTGTTCCACTAATCAACCGTGAAGGAGGTGTGAAACTTACACACACAGCGTTACAGATAAAATTAACACCGATAAGTCCATTTTTGTTTTGATAACTGTATCATCGATGAACTGTAATTGGCGATCGCCTCCAGTACTGCACCTCACAGAACAATCTTATAACTGATAGTTTTACTACCAATAAAATAATATCTAACGTTTTTTGAAGAATTATCAAAAGTACATGATATGCCAAAAGCACATGTACAATATTTCACTTGAGCCTTCCGAATATATTTCATCCAGTAACATCGATCAACCGATCTTCCGATATCGCACATAAGTGCGAGTTTCATCGCACCTCGGGCGAAAGATCGTTAAATCGCCTAGTTGTCAGCAGTGTGTGTGGACGATGTGCACACAGTTAATTTTGAGCGTTGTGCTAACACACAACTGTAACGTAAGCGGACGAGATGATATCAACTCAAGTAAGCAAAGGCTAGTCCATTGGTTCATTAGTTCATTTGGTTCATTGGTTCATTGTTCATTGCAGGTGACACCGTTGTAAGCGTATAGTCGCTTCTTGAGGTGCTTGTTAATTCTGTCCACTTCACTTCCGGTTGTATTTGGAGGCATTGAAGAAGACTTTGTTTATCAAAAACTAGTGAAAATTATTTACATGTGCAGTGGGTGGTAACAAAGGTTGCATAATAATTTCATATAAAATAAGGGAACACCTGTATTCAGATATATAAAAGGACTGACAGGCCTGTATAGATCACAAGTCTCAAAAAAAGAGAGACTTTATTCTACTATTTAGTATGAGTACACACATTGTGGTTAATTTGTTACAGACCTGTCAATGAGCTGTACTTGGAAGTATAGATATTAAAAGGTTTCATGAGTTAAAAAAGTAATGAATTTGGATTGGACATTAGGGAAGCTTGTATGTATTACCCCAGCTAGTTAGTAGAAGCTTGGTTCAAACTTGTTGGGGTGATTTATCCAGTGGTTGTTTAACCTGGTCTTTTTTGTGAATTTTACGTACAGTTTATGGTACATAGGGGAGTGTCTATTACAGCAACGTTAATGGAGAGGTACGTATCCTTTATGATTTCCTAGGGGCACATAAGGCTACTGTAACACTGAGTGTAAGGGCTACGGTATTGACTACATCAATTTTACAGCATGCGATGTATCGATTGTAGCAAGGTTAGAGGAGGCAATATACAATTAAACCAGTGTTATTGGAGACACTATCGATAACAGCAATGTTAGGAGGGGCAAAATATGGATTTCAGCAATGTGTGAGGCGGGGACGAATCAATTAAAGCAATGTAAGGGGATACCATTTATCGATCAGAGGAATGTTGAAGGAGGTAGAGTATTATTACAACAATAGTATGGGAGGTAAAGGATCGATTACAGACATGTTAGGGAAGTCAAGAGTGGAAAATACAGCAGTTTTAGGGGTGGCGATGTACATCGATAACATCAATGTTAAGTGAGAAAAGAATCGATTATAGCCATGATTGAGAGGCGAAAGTAGCGACAACAGCAATGTTAGGGGAGAGAAAGTATCGATAAGAGAAATGTAAAGGGTTGAGTACATGTATGATAACAGCATTGTGAGGAGAGAGAAAGTATCGATACGACAAATATAAAGGGTTGAGTACATGTATGATTACAGCATTGTAAGGAGAGAGAAAGTATCGATAAGATAAATATAAAGGGTTGAGTAGATGTATCAGTACAGCAATGTAAGGGGAGAGAAAGTATCGATAAGAGAAATATAAAGGCGTGGCGTACATGTATCATTACAGCAATGTAAGGGGAGAGAAAGTATCGAAAAGGGAAATGTAAAGGGGTGGAGTGCGTGTATCATTACAGCAATATAAGAGGAGTGAAAGTATCGATAAGAGAAATATAAAGTGTTGAGTACATGTGTCATTACAGCAATGTAAGGGGAGAGAAAGTTTCAATACGAGAAATACAAAGGGTTGAGTACATGTATGATTACAGCAATGTAAGGAGAGAGAAAGTATCGATAAGAGAAATATAAAGTAGTTGAATACATGTATGATTACAGCAATGTAAGGGGAGAGAAAGTATCGATAGGGGAAATGTGAAGACGTGGAGTACATGTATCATTACAGCAATGTTAGGGGAGAGAAAGTATCGATAATAGAAATATAAAGGGTTGAGTACATGTATGATTACAGCAATGTAAGGGGAGAGAACGTATCAATAATAGAAATATAAAGGGTTGAGTACATGTATGCTTACAGCAATGTAAGGGGAGAGAAAGTATCGATAAGAGAAATATAAAGGGTTGAGTACATGTATGATTACAGCAATGTAAGGGGAGAGAAAGTATCGATAAGAGAAATGTAAAGGGTTGAGTAGATGCATGATTATAGCAATGTAAGGGAAGAGAAAGTATCGATACGAGAAATGTAAAGGGTTGAGTACATGTATGATTACAGCAATGTAAGGGGAGAGAAAGTATCGATAATAGAAATGTAAAGGGTTGAGTAGATGTATCATTACAGCAATGTAAGGGGAGAGAAAGTATCGATAAGAGAAATATAAAGGCGTGGCGTACATGTATGATTACAGCAATGTAAGGGGAGAGAAAGTATCGATAATAGAAATGTAAAGGGTTGAGTAGATGTATGATTACAGCAATGTAAGGGGAGAGAAAGTATCGATAAGAGAAATCAAAAGGGGTGGAGTACATGAATCATTACAGTAATGCTATCGGAGGAGGCGAAGTATCGATAACACCAATGTAGGGGGAGGTGGAAGTAGTAATTACAGCAATGTAACGGAAAGCAGAGAATATACAGCAATGTAACGGGAAGCAGAGAATATACAGCAATGTAACGGGAAGCAGAGAATATACAGCAATGTAACGGGAAGCAGAGAATATACAGCAATTGAGGTTCAGTAACGGCTGTGTAAAGCAGATGAAGGTATCGATTAAAGTATGTGTCGGACAAAATTTGGGTGTAAAAAATTAAAATCGAGTTTGAACGAAACAGTGTTGCAAAAAATATTCATATCGATTTTAACGTTTGTGTCCATCGAAAACCTTTCAGACATTCCCGTCACTGTTAAAATTTGACATAACAATATGATGTGTCAGTGTCCGCAATTTTACAAGACATGTGGCTAATAATTTTGTACAAAAAGCCTATTCGTGCAATTTTTTTAGAAATGAAAAAAAACAAAGTCGTACGAACGAGTTAAAAAGTCGTATAGACGAGATAAAAAGTCGTTCGTACGAGTTCAAAAGCCGTACGAACGAGTTAAATCGTCGAGCGAACGAGTTAAAAAGTCGTACAGATGAGATAAAAAGTCGTACAGACGAGATAAAAAGTCGTTCGTACGAGTTCAAAAGCCGTACGAACAAGTTAAATCGTCGAGCGAACGAGTTAAAAAGTCGTACAGATGAGATAAAAAGTCGTTCGTACGATTTCAAAAGCCGTAAGAAAAATTTATAAAGGCGTACGTACGTATACGAGTTTTTAAATACGGCACGCTTCAAACAGCCGACAATTTCGAATTTTGAAACCGTCACTACAGTGTAGTGGTACAGTAAAAAACGATTTTACGTGGTACAAATATGCTAAAGCGAAGATGTTTTTCAAACATTGTCAAATGTTCCTTTTATTTATCCATACCGGGTTAATGATGGAATAGTTCTGATTTGAAACGTCCATATATATGTATACAGTCAAATGTGAACATAACTTATTTTAATTGTTGTTGAGTAAGAAAGGAGCGCGCAGGACATGGGGTGGGGGGNTAGTAATACGGTTCTGGCATGTACACATGTAACCAAAGTGGTTGGGCAGGTGACCCCGTACCATTTTCACGTCCGATTTGGACATCGAACACGTGTCATCTTGTGAGAAGTTAAATGAGCTATTCACAGCGCCATCCAGCCACCCATATTCCATCAATTATGTCAATTAAATTT